AAATTGTGGAGATCCGGTATTTTCAACTGCCGTCGGTAGCTGCCGCCGGTAAATTTTGTATTGCTTAAAGTTGCCTTTTATCGGCAGATTTAATAAACTTGCAGTTAACAGCGTCTTTGTGTATTCTTTGATCTCTTCAGATCATTATGCAAACGTATTGAAAACTAGGGTGGCAACCCCACATCTAAATATAGACTCTAGCAGACTGCGCATATGCAGATCAAGCCATGGTGCTTTTGAGGTCGCCTTCGCCGGTTGGCATGTCGGCAGTGATTGGCCATGCCATGTGATTGGCTGATACAGACATTCGCGGATTGCCATTGACAGTGTCACTCCCATGATCTATTTATAGCCGTACCACGTGGTATTCTTTACGCGCGTAGTAAAAAAAGATGGCTTCCAGTAGTAAAAAACAGCGTACACTGACAGGGTTCTTTTCGGGGGAAAATAAGAAGCAAAGTGAAACTCAAACATCTAATCCAGTGGTTAAGGCTACAGAAGATCATGATAGGTCTAAGGATGGGACTCAGAGAAAAAAATCAAAGAGTAACTGTAGCGGTAAGACGGTTGTTATGCAATCGAAGTTCAATCAAGACTGGCTAAATGATTACAAATGGCTGCGTGTAGAAGGAAATGAAGGTGATGAGATAATGTTTTGCCGAATTTGCGAAGAAGCCCAGCAGGCAAATGGCTTCGTTAAAGGAAGTGTAAATAGAAAAAAATCTGCACTAAATGACCATCGGGAAAGTCAGTCACATCACAAGGCTGTGCTAGCACTCACGCATAGACAAGCTATGGCAGCATGCCAGAAAGCCCAGAGTGAGAAGAATGATGACAGTCTCACTGCGATGTGCAACACAGTGCTTACGATGGCACAAGAGAACATTGCTGCAAACAAATTTAACGCCTTAATAACTTTGCAAAAAAACAACAAATGTTCGGCCCTATGCGGTCTGGTGTATAGCCATGGTGACTCAGTGCAAGATATTGAACAAGCGTTAGCTACGAGCACAATTGAGCACTTAAAGGGTCGCATTGCCAACAGTAAATTTGTGGGTTTGATAATCGATGAAACAGTTAACATCACAGTTGAAAAAAAACTCATCATGTTTCTAAGAATTATTAACTATGGAAAGGCAGATACTGTTTTTCTCGGCAATCACACTGTGCATGACGGCACCGCTAGCACCATCACAGACAAGATCAAGGAAGTGTTTCGAGAATGGAACATTCCTATCAACAAAGTCGTTGGTCTTGGCTCCGATGGTGCTAGCGTGATGACCGGTCATAAGTCAGGCGTGGGGGTGAGGTTGACAGACGAGTGTCCGTTCTTAGTGCATGTGCATTGTATCGCACACAGAGTCTCCCTCGCGTCCCACGATGCCGCCAAGATGTCAAAGGTTGTCACTGACTTCACTAAAACGGTGAATGAAATATACAAACTCTATCAGTATTCAGCTGTTCGTTATGAGCGTCTGCGAGATTTGTCCCAAGTTCTCAGCGACACAGAATTCTCTAGCTTAAAACAGCCATGTAGTGTTCGTTGGCTGTCTTTGGGGCGGGCTGTGAAGTCTATCAAAGACAACCTACCAGCACTATGTATGGAAATTGAAGAAGAGGCAACAGCACGACAAAATGCTGTAGCAACAGGCCTTCAAAAAAAAATGAAAACTTTTTCCTTTGTTGCCCTTTGCTACATGCTAACGGATGTTCTTCACATCATGGACAAGCTGATCACAGTCTTCCAACGGGATGAACTCAACCTTGGTTGCATTCATCCCGTTGTGAATGGTTCTATTGAATCGTTGAGCGAGCTCCTCACTTCACCAGGTCCTAGTGAACAATATTTCCTTGACAACATCAGTGATGGAGTTTTCAGATCCATTAAGCTCACGCATGATGACCCACGGTCGCGAACTGCCTTCCAGAACACTCGGTCAGGTTTCATCACAGACCTCTGTGATGCACTCAGAAAAAGATTTCCGGAAGACAGTATATCAGTCATTGTGTCTTTGGACAAAATCTTGAACCCGTCGAAATACCCCCTCTTCTCGCAACGACATCGGTCAATACGGTAGCGACTCGCTTGAGGTTGTTCTCGCTTATTTCACGTCTGATGACGTCACCGCCAACAACCTGATTGGAATTGACACTGACCGCGCCAGACGTGATTTCTCTCAGTTCAAGCGAACGCTGGCGAACTTGGGGACCAAAACACTCACAAACACATGCAGGTTATTGGTTAATGACTATCAGGTGCTCTTTCCTGATTTTGCTGTTATGGCAACGATTGCTTTGACAATACCAGTAAGCAGCGTCCCTGCGGAGAGAGGATTCAGTCTCCAAAATCGCATCCACACTGCGTCGAGGAATCGTCTCTCCCCGGGAACGTTTGGACAACCTGGTGTTGCTGAATATGCATGCCGATGATGTTCCGCGAGCTGTTCAGATTTTCCGTCAGAAAAAAAGAAAAGTGTAGGTTGAATGTGACTGGCATGACATACCGTCGGTATTCATATGCAGCGCGATCAGCATTATGATTCCTGTTTATCGTTGATAGTTTTGTATTATTTAACTCTCATAGTTACATGTGAAACACAACAGACAAAGAGACTTTTAAATCTGGACTCAAGAGATCGATATCATGTAACAATTAGTTTTACATTTAAAATACTAATAGTACTGACAGTATGACACTTACTGGCGCACTTTTGAGTACAGGCTTTACGATAATAATTCCTGATATAAGTTCTTTTGCAACTTTCCAGTTTGAATTTTAATAAAGTTTAAGAGTTTCAATTTTTACCAGAATTGTATTTTGTTTGTTTTTCCTTGCATCAGTATGAACAAGTTCGATACAAACATTCGCGGTGACATTTTAATCATGCAAACTAATAACGTCTATCTGAAATACTTTCCTTACGTTTTACTGTACAGAATCCACCTGCAGCTGCCATTACTTGTCTTCATATAAATATATCTAGGCTACACAAGCTTTTGTATTTTCATGATTCTTTGACCCAAGCAGTGAGTGATTGTATTGTAATATCTGTCTATAAATACACATAATACAAACCGGTAAACTACCGTTTAAAGCGTTTTGACAGATGCGATACCATATGATTGCATCATCGTCATTCGAGGTTAGGAGTATTTAAATTTACCATTTTTCAAATTCATTTTATAAGTAAACTACGTATATAAACTCTTTCAACACCAGTCAACCAGAGGCATTTCCTGCCATGACACCGAGTTCCCAGAGACTCTGGGGTCATAGATGAAGCCTATGTTTATGAAGGAAATTATAAGCTTGTAAAACGTTATTGCTACTACATCCCATACACCATTTAAAAGATCTAATCATACTGTTGATAAATATGAAGTTTATTTTTATAATATTATTCAAATAATACAAATACAACTTAAATAAATTTATTTTTGAACGAAAAGGCAAGCTTATATTTATAACGTCCAGATAAACCACGAAAGCAGCAAAAACTATGGCGATTTTTTTTCCATTTGTGACATGTCATAACATGCCCGTGCCCTTTTCTTTTATATTTTCATTTTTACCTCATCAGAAAATTATTATAAAACGATTTCTTAAAAAATATGTATGGTCGCCTATTTCCCGATATCTGTGGCTTTCCGCTCGGTAACATGACACAACAACGGAAAATACCTCCGTTTTCGAAGCTTCGTATGAATAACATGCGAGGCGAATCGTTTGATGTCGGGCATCGTTCGAAAGCTCTGAACATCAACAATATCACTGTACCCTTGCCAAGAGTTTTTTCACAGTTGTAAGAAGCGATTTTATTGGATAAAGATTGATTTCTAATGACGCTTTTTCGCCACAATCAGCTATAAGGGTCGTAATTGGTCAAAATCAGACACGTGACCTAAAGCAGCCAATCATATTTCGGCAATAGATAAACGAAAACTTTTAGATTTAGACAAAAGTTTTGGGTAAAATAATGCTATTCTGAACATACTAAGCAAGCAACAAATCGCTACCTATACGTAAATTATGGAACTTATTTGACGTATGGTGTTAGGTTATGACCTGTGACAAAAATGCTTCATGTATATATTTTCGCATTAAACATCGTGTCCGAGTGTGAAGATTGAGGCGGCGAGAGCCGAGATGGCAAGTGACTTGACATACATTACATGATCGCACAAAAAGACGGAAATAGTAATTTTATATGTACGTTTGACAACTTTTATGAATGTTGTTGTTGATTTTATTCATTAGTTTATTCAATTTATTTAATGATTTCCTCGAAACATCGTTACTTTGCTCTTTGACAATGTTAATGTGCACCCGCTGCCGAAGGATGTGTCCGAGAATCGTTGTTTTCAATAACATTGCGAAAAATAGTTTATAATTTTAATTCTGCTGATTATATGATAAATTGAAATTTAATAAGTGTTTTCAGACATTGTGAAATATGATAGATCTAATATATGAATCATAAGTCAGGTAGGTTCCTAAAATTATGTCTCATTTTGACGTGACTACTGCCTGGCCGCTTAATCGGCCTCCGGCGTTGAATGGATTAACAACAATTCCTTACTTCGTAAGTATACATTTTTCAACATCATAAAGCACCGTCGATTATATTATTTAATGCAGGTCCCGACTTGTCACATGCCTTCGCTTAGTTGTACCACTGACAGGCTGACCAATCAAGAGTTGTGTTTCACATGGAGTTCCCTTTTCATCCAATCAGAGCCAAGGTTACATGTCAGCTGCGCTCACAACACGAACCTTCATATTGTCTAACAAAGGTTGCTAAGTAACTCGTGAAATGCAGATTGAAGTTCACCACAGGTATATAAACATTAATTATTTGCACATTTCACAGGCATTTAGATAGCGAATGACATTCTGAACACATTTATCGAATTTAGTTGGATCGCTTTCATTTTCTGATCGTGTGAATTGTAATGTAGGTCTAATGAACATTCTCGAAAAACAAGCAACACGTACGGCAGACTTTTCAACACATTTATTAACAGTATATCGTTACGAATACTGATTACTTTGTCTCTCCGGATAAAAACTAGTTCAGCCGGAATTTTCAGACCCCGTCGGCATAAGCCGCCGGTAATTTTCAAAACCACCGGGAACACTGCTTTATACTAGATGTCTTGGAGTGAGTGAACTATGTACTGTGATCTAAAAGTACATGAGTGTTACTTAGTTCTTGGTTATGAAGGGGTGAGGTTCTGCTAGGCTGTAAGCAAAATATGAAGCAGCACACAGCACTTTCAAGTCACAATTGGCAAAAATGCAAGACCAAATACACTCAAAATATGGAGTAATCACTCAAAGACATTTCCTGTATTGTAAAATATACTGATCAATACATGGGGAAACTAAATGTGCATATATACTATGTCATGACTGTAGATTCTGCAGACACTGGCTGATAGCAGCATGAGTATGATAACCTGTCATGTAATATAGTGTTTTTCACCCATTTTTAATAACTTATATATTCCAAATATTCTGCCAATGAGGCCAAGGTTGGTAACTGGCATTCCATATTTTCCACTATACAGTTAGACCTATATGTTTTAAAATAATGGAAAAGAATAATTTGTACTGGTTATTGTGCTATGAACCAAGAATTTCATATTTCAACAGAATTCCATGTCATGTAGAATCACATGCCTATGCCATTGATTAAGTTTAACTTTTCATTGGTAAGCATGTTTTTTCATGGAAACTGGAGTAGTAGGGTAACCTAGTGGTTAAACTGTTGACACTTGTCACACTGAAGGCCTGGGTTTGATTCCCCACATGTGTGCAAAGTGTGAAGCCCATTGCTGCTCTCCCCAGCATGATGTTGCTGGAATATTGCTAAAAGCAAACTCTCTCACTTGGAAACCTTTGCTATATACACTGAAAATCTAATCTCCTACATCCATCGTTGTATATTTACTGTCAAATCAATATCATGGCTAAACGCAGAAATCTTCCAAACCATTCAATTTGTGCTTGCTTTATCCACACTTATAAAACAATAAACAAGTTTTAGAACTATTCTGCAATTTTATTCCAAAGACATAATTACTCATAACATATCAAACATTCTTTGCATTTCCCAAATGTTCTTTCATGGTTACTCATCTAAATTCTCACTGAATTATCTGAGAGTCCCAAGATGTCACAGGACTTTCCACAACACCTTGCTGGTTACAAGCATTTCCTGTTCCAGCAAGTGTCCAAAGGATGATGTGTAGGGCTTTAATATGTTCTATAAAAGTATATACAACACTTGAATGACTTGCTGTTTCTTCATTTGCAATGTATATAGCTTGACCACCAGATGTTAAAAGAAATCTGAAGATCTGTTTCAGTTAGTGTTGCTCTTGATGTCAATGGTAATTGTGGTGATAAAGAAATCTATTCCTCCTTCTTTCTCCTCTTAAAGATGTGCATCTGTTCCAACTGAAAAAATACATAACACATGTGAGACCAAGTATGATATACTTGATAAAATGTAAACAGTTCCTTACAAGTTACAATGTTGACATCAATATATTATTGACAAATTAAGCATGTGGATGTTATGTTTAACTGAACATGCTGCACCATAACCAAATGCTAAATGGGGTTGTAATAATATATTAATCAAGCTCATATTACAGAATACATTTGTGAGAGACACCTATTCAGAGCTATTGGTATCAATCAAAGTGTTGATATAATCATCATTGTTTACGCGCTATTAAATTATTATTTAATTCATTACATTTATTTTTTTTAGAATTACACCTGGATTTTCATTGCACATTAGTTATCTTCTGAATAATTCCAACTGCAAGATACTTTATTTATTAACACAGTTTTTTGGGTACACATGTATTATACCGGATACCTGCCTGTCATATTTTATTAGGTCCCCTCTCCGGGGGGACAATAAAATCCCACTGTAAGATATCAAATGCAATCAAACGATTCACCAATCTGCACACATTTCAACTCCACCCTTACTGTGTGTGCCATGCTTAAACAATACCAGCATTTAAATGAAAACAAAGAAATCCATGTAACAAACTTACCTCGACTAATGAATGGGCCAGCCTGAAGACTGTGACAACTCTGCATCTGTTTGGCAAATATTCACGTGCTATTCATGCAACATTGCCTTAGTGCTTTAGCCATCCATAGTCTGTTACATGGCATAGGTTTCTGATTCACACAGTGAGTGTCGAGTATGATTATCCACGGCATACCCCATGTAACAGGGTTATCGACATTGCCGCAAAACGTTCCTTGTCACCGGAAGTACTAAACAACGTAATCTCTCGCGAAGTGCCGTGACCTACATACGGGCCCTTATTATATATAAAGAAAGTGATGAGAATACCGAGCGTACAGTAGTACATATATAAGAAAAAGTTTCTAAAATAATCACACGACACGGATCTTCTCCAACATGTTTCACTTTTATCTTCAGGGAGAAGTGATTACAGTTAAACGGATTATGTTATGACGTCACTTTGTCAAGACGTCACAATGCAACTGTATACAAATGTTGTGACGCGGCGTTGCCATGACGTCACATTGGCGGCTTTAAATTGACAGTACTAGTAGCACAATGAAAACAAGTATAATTCAGACACATTGCGTTACCTATTTAACGATGGACACAATTCTTTAATGAAAAAGTTGGAGCACCTTTAGAATACAGCACCACAACTTCTCGTGAGGACGATCCCTGCCGTAGGTCACGTGTCATTAAGACAAGCAACCAGTTTGTGAGAACCCGTCGGACGCGAACCCGCGACCTTCGGATTGTTAGCCCGACAGCTAACCGACTGAGCTACGTCCACACTGTTGCACGTTGTGCAAATTTATCGAGTCATTCCTGTGACGTCACGGAAATGAACGGAAAGAGTCGAATAGGTCACGGACAATTACGAAGGTTACGGGTAGACTTGGTGTCTCGTGATTTTAATCTACGGACAATTGCCGAATGGACCCGATGCCATTTGGCACACTCGTCCCATTTCGTAATCTACAAGATAACGTGTGGCGTGGAATGAGCCGATATGCCTCAAACTGAAAAGGGTTGTTGACGTCAGGCGTCAGACGTAGATTTCACGGTGCATGCATGAATGACTCTCTTTTATATAAATCGGTGATTTTGTGACAGAAAAGTGATGTAGGGAACACTAAGGATAATGTGGATCGCACTAAGGAACGAGGGAGACATGGGCATGTGTAGTGACGGCACGAGGGTGAGTTAGCCTTCGAATCATTACTGAACAAATGTTAAGAAAGTAAGAATATTTATGGATAACAACTTCTTTATTATATATGATGCGACGTTTCGGTATGGATTCTTATACCGTTGTCAAGCAAGAGTGAAGTACTACAGCACAGACCAGGCTTATATACATGAACAGGGATTAAGTAATAACAACATGTAGGACTGAATGAGGGGGATTAACAATAACAACAAGGCACGGTGGCAATAATGTAGTGACAATAGGAAGCCAATGGTGGTTGATGTAAAAAACAAAATATACATGCTGATGAGATTAATTAACAATGATGGCTGAGGTGCTCTAATCTGTTGTTTTTATGAGATCATTGTATGCAGAAGGGATGAGATATCCCTGGTCTCTGTTGATTGAGGGCTTGTGTCTCCGGATTTGAACTGCTTCTGCAAGTTTCCTTTTGGTGAAGTCCTGGTGGTTTTTGGATAATATGTCCACATTGTCCCAAATTATGTTGTGATTGGGGCAGTTGATGATGTGGTCTGATAATGCCGATTTTCTATCAGATTTAGTGGTAGATGATAAGTGTTCTTTGATTCGGATATTTATGGGCCGGGAGGTTTCGCCTACATAGGCCTCGCCACAGTCACAGTCAAATGTTGCATGTGAAAGAGGCTTGAGTGCAAATTCCAGGCCAATTTCCATTAGCCCAAAATTTGTACATTAAACCATCATAGTGTACTTTCGACGACGTTTTTGGTTTCCCGTTTTTGTGTGAAAAAAGTATTAAAATGCAAAAAGAAAAACACCAATTAATGGTACTCACGTATTACACCGGACATGTACCTACTATATTGGATTAGGTCCCTAACCCTAACCCTAAACCCTAAACCCTAACACTAACCCTAATCCCTTGAAATAATCCTAATAAATAGAATGCATTGACCGAACCGACAGTATTAAAATGCAAAAGGAACAACAACAAACGGTACTCACGTATTACAACGGACATGTACCTGGAATATTGGATTAGGTCCCTAACCCTAACCCTAACCCTAACCCCTAAACCCTAAGCCTAGCCCTAACCTCTTGAATTAATCCTAATAAATAGAATGCATTGACTGAACCGGCACAAACATGACTGACGTGTCCAGTGTAATACATTATTACCGCTTCGAAAAATAAGATACTAATAAAAAACTTTTCTATGTGATGGAACAATTTACTGAATGACAAAAATATATATGTAAATTTAAAAAATATAAAATCCAATAATACACAAAACATAACACCTCAGCACCCCGTAATACAAATAAATATGAGCGTATAAGTGAAAAAAAGAAAAATATTAAACTGGTGCTTGCAAAATATTGCGCATCCGCCTGTATATACCTACTGGAAACTCTCGTTGGGCTTATGCAATGACATAGCTCGTAGAGATGAAACACCAGTGAGCGGAGCTTATATGCACTCGCTGAGCTGGACAACCGTGTTGCCATGCCGGCGTCATAGGGCATTGTTTCGAGTACGTGCTTTCGAACAAAATCACATTACATTACGTAAAAGCGTATTATGACGTATTTTTAAAGTTTGTGGTGCTGTATTCTAAAGGTAGGCCAAAAAGTTTTCTTTAGCTTTACGCTGCATGGCGTCAGCAGTATTCATTTTATAGAAAGGGAATATTTTAAATTTTATGTCCTTTCCTGCTGCGCATTTGTCGATGTGAGGGCTTAAGGGGATGCACCTTGTTTTGGGGTCCTTAATTGAAATTATGCGGGCTGTCTTGATAAACAAAAAACTTTTCTAACAATTAGAAAGTAATAACATGACAAATTTTGTCTCACTGTTGGTTTTACGTGTTTTTAGTGAATTTTCTACTGTGAACGTCAACATCTCGAAGTGAACTATCGTCCTGTTTCCACTACGTAAAAGATTCTCGGATTGAGGGGATAATATATGCCACCTATGTAAATGTTAGGCATTATTGATGTCAGTTAACTTGTAAGTGTGTGAAAACAGTAACCCTCATTGCGTTCAACAGCCACCTTCTCTACGTGATGCAATCTACGAAAACAAAGCGAGTAAGAGCTGCCATCTGTTTTTCTGTATCAGATGTACGCGATTTGGCATTACAAAAAATATCTTTTTCGAATTAAATCGTTCATGATAGTTTTCTATACTTTTGATATGTTAAAAGTGCACACCTTACTTACATGTTTCGGCAAAAATTGATTTTATTGCAATTTGTTCTATCCCTGTTGACAGTATTACTGGACTGTATGAATTAAACTGCGTTTTTAACGACCAAGCTTATAACGAACTGATGGATAGAGCGATATGTTTCCCCCGTCCACTTGCTGTATATAAATTGAAATTCGTTTAAATAACTACGGTTATAACGAAGTAATTGTAATGGGACCGTACCTTAGTGTATGTCGACAGTTCCAAAGAGTTCGAGGACTCACCTTACTTTTCTAACCTTGCATTGTTGGCCATCAGTTTCAGACAGCAAGATGTATATGTGCACGAAGCAGGATTCTCCCTCAAGCGTCTCCTTCATCACGTGCTACAGTGGATGCTGCGGCAGCAACTACACAACCCACTGCTGCAACTCTACAACCACGTGAGATCTGTTCTCTTTTCACTCTGTAGGTGTTCGGAGATATTTACTGGCGTGTCTATTCATACTGGATTAACAGCGACAATATCCTTTTCTGTAATCATAAGAAATCTACTAAAAGGCCATTGTACAATTACGACTATATAAGGAGCAGGTGTTAATGAATTATTACCATAAAGGGTCTGTACTTTATATTTGCGTGGGCGGTGGGGCAGCCTAGTGGTTAAAGTGTTGGCTCTTCATGCTGTAGACCCGGGTTCGATTCCTCATATGAATACAATGTGTGAAGCCCATTTCTGGTGTCCCCCGCCATGATTTTGCTGGAATATTGCTAAAAGCTTTGTAAAAAAAACTCACTCACTCATGACTCATGTTTGCGTACGATATGGCTGCAATACTGCCGATGTGACATAAAATCTTAACTCACTCACTCATGTTTGCGTAATGATGATCGTATCCACCGGTGGTGTCTGTCACAAACACATGCAAGGTCTAGAAAATATTTTCAACAGAAAACACATGGAACATATGGTGAAAGTTGAAAATAAGAAATTTGATTTCGTTACTGATGCGTCAACATTTGGACAATTATCCACATTTCTACAAATGAACACATTAAAAGCTTTGCTATAGTTAATGCGTTGCATTTTATGAGTACACATTGCCAATGCACAATTACTGAGAAAATGTAATCCCAATATAACATATGTAAACTTGAGATTTGTAACCATGATGCATAGATCAAAATATGTAACACACGGGGCGGTTTCACTGGTGTCTTTTTTGTATAGTTCAGGTGGATACATCGGTAGAAGGAAACTGGTTATTTGACGATTACTGAAGAAAAAGAACCTAAGGTCAGACTTTACAGTATTCGCAGGCTTTATTTTGTAGTGAGTAACACGTATGGTATTGAAGATTGCTTCGGCAATCATAAACTATTTATGATAAACCTAACATAGTCTCCTTCACCGAACACTTAGGACTTGGAATGACCTCTATCAGACTTTCATTAACACCCCAACCCCCACTCTTGGCTTTGTCATTACAATAATTATATTGTTATCTTTGGACATTAATTAGCTATCTAATTGGCTTTGTACTTATAGTTTTCCCAGAAATTATTGAGAAAATCTTTGTTTCCTAATACTGATAATGGAATTTTAAAATAGGTGTTACATTATATAGTACGGTACTCAATATTGGAGGCTACTCTTGTAGGCTTAAGAATAAACCTTACTACATCAAGAGCTAGCTGCCCTGGTGTAGCAGACAGCTTCTTTTGTTGTCATGGCCGAGTTGACAGCAGAAGAGGAAAGAAAGCTGGATCTAGATGATTTTTAAAGAGGTGTGACTAATGCAAAGAGCTGGTAGAAATGACATTCCTCTGTCTTCAGTATACATAACTTTGAAGAATATTCAGTCAGACTGAGCACAAGACAGGGACAGGGAGGCTCTGTCTTCAGTATACATAACTTTGAAGAATATTCAGTCAGACTGAGCACAAGACAGGGACAGGGACAGGAAGTTCTATACTACAGATCGCCTGTGACTAGGTCAGATTGTGAGTAGGGGAAAATTGAAAAGCGTTGAGAATATCAGAAATGAGATGATTAATGGAGGAAGTCCTCATGTATGTAATGAAACCCTAAGACAAGAATTACAAAGACTTAACTGGGTGAAAAAGCGGTTAACTCCCTCACCATTGACCAAAGTTGCTCAAAAAGAAAGACGTTTAAACTGGTGTAGGGCTCACGAAAATCAAATTTGGGATTATGTTTTCTGTCTGGCCTTTTCTCAACTGTGTGAAAATTTGGACAAAAGATAGCGTGACACCTATCTACCAACGCCTAAAACATAGTCCGAAATTTCACATGTGGGGTGGGATATCATCACGTGGAGTCACTCCTTTGTGTATTTTCACTGAAAATTTGATGAAGGAACGATATGTTGACATCTTAAATGGTCACCTTCCAACGGATGAAGATAATTAGATTTTCCAGCATGATAACGACCCAAAACTTACTGCGGGCTAAACAAAACAGTGGTTGTCGGACGAAAATGTTCAAGTTTTAGACTGGCTCGGCTCCAGCCCAGATCTTAACCCCACAGAATCGACTGCAATAACAATAGTATGACGTCATCGTGAAGGTTCAGTCTAGGAAACTGCACCACCAGATCAGTCATGGTTGTTCATTCCTCACATAAAATCGTAAAGTGAGTGTGTGAGTGAGTTAAGATTCCACGTTACCTCGGCAAAATTTCAGCTATATTAAAGTCACACAGAAAGATATCTCTTGTCGATCGTTATAACATGCTTTCATTTCGTTCCGAAAGTTCTGGTTTTCATAGACCTCCATTCACAGAACACTGAAACAACATTCACTGATTCACAGGGCAAACATTAACGTGTCTACAACGACCATGCCGACACCAGCCCCATCTGTGAGCAGGTGGATGATCGTCAGCGCCTTCGTCGGGAGCGTGATAGTTGCAGCTGTCATCGCCACCATCATCTTGTACTTCGTGTGCTGCTCACAACGGCCTGTACCTAAAGATGACGAAGCACACCAATTCGATTCCAAAATGGCGGAAGAAGGTTATACTGGTGAGGGAGGGGGTGAGTGAGCTGGGTCTTCCGGCTAAGGGGCATCATTCTGCAAGCGCATTGCGGCGCCTTGACGAATTGGCCACTTTTCCTTGTCATGATGGTGAAATATTGTCACATTTCATACCTGTTTATTATAACATTCATTCCTGTTTATTATCACATTTCATAACCGTTCATTGTCATATTTCATACCTATTCTTTATCACAATTTACACCTGTTTATTATCATATTTCACACATGCTTATTATCACATTTCATACCTGTTCCTTGTAAGATTTCATACCTGTTTATCATTACATTTCACATCACATTCACACTTGTTTCTATACCACATACGTGTTTATTGTGCGATTTCATAGATGTTATATCCTTTTATACCTGTTTATTCCCGTTTATTCACGTGTTGTCTTGATCACATATGATCACATCCACACTCGTTTATTATCACACTTCATACCTGTTCATTATAAGATTCATATCTGTTCATTATTTCATGCCTGTTCATTATAAGATTTCATACCTGTTCACTATCAAAAGTCAACTGAAATATTGTATGGTTGGTTAGTTTGTTTTTAAATCCGAAAGATAATACATACTTCCATATCGAACCAAGTTATTACAGTAAATGAGATTTATTATCTTTTAGATGAAACATTGTAAAACGTCACGTCGCAGGGCAATCTCATTGAGAAAACTGTAACGTTCATATTCTTTTCACAGGTATTGCAGATAACGGATACGACCCTAAAAACAAACCATTCAACAGTTTGGACCAAGACCAGCAAAGAAAATACTGACATAGCCTGTTAAACTTTACTACTCAACTTTTATTTGGGTATTTGAGTATTTCCTCGATACACATATGTGCTTTCATAATTAGTATGACACATTTGATTATGCCTATCAAAAGTTTGAGAGCTTCAGCGTAAATTCAGTGTTTTCGAATAATGTGGCGATTTATATTAGTCTGGAAGAACGTGGTGGCACGTGGTCCTTGGCATAGAAATCAGGTCACAAATCAGGTGAAGTTAAGCAACCTTGGGCACGGAGAGTCTTTGGATGACAGTGTTAGGCAGCTTGACTCGTGAGAGTTTCTAGCACTTCACTCCTGCTTCACAAGTGATGCATGTGTTACATGTGGTCTCACCTTAGGCAAGCGAGTTTGTTCAAAACTGTCTCTGTTCACCCAGCAGAAAATGGGTACCCGGTGGGATAAAGTCACGTGACTATAACCCTCAAGCGAATAACAGGCAGTTTGGGTTATCGGTGTGATAACAATCAGATTGCTTTGGCTTCGAGGATGCATTGTGTATGGAGGAATCCGCATGATCAATGGACTATTATTGTTATTAATTGTTATGTTCTCTGTGCAATATTTGAGGCAAGATGAAAAAGATATTAAGAAACCATGATTCAGTGGCATTACTCCCCGGGACAGGCATCCGATGAGGGTGGGGGTGGGAGACATACCTTACCAGGCCAAAGATGCAAACTGGCCATGGGCAGATCTCCCCAAAATTGAGCGAGAAAAGTCAGGTATATTCTTAGGAATCAAGTGAGACTGTCACGGTCGGATAACCCGAAAAGGAAATAGCTTGATGTACACTTTATGAGAAACACGGAGACTGGAACCGAGGTGCTACTCGTCATGTGGCTACAACTTAGAAACGGCTGCCGAATGCCAGCTATGCTAATGAGATGTATATGTAATAGGGTGAAATAAAAGCATTTTTTTTAACTTCATGTGTTGCGTTATTTTTATCAAAATGTATATACATCTGTGTTGTTTTGGGTTCAACAGAGGTTCATTGTGTTCGCAATGAGTAGTTGTCGGCAAATAGTGTTTTAAGTGCTTAATGCAGGTCTCTGATTGCTTTGGATCATTCCATTACAAGGTCATAGGGTAATTAAGTTATTCTATCTTTCTGTCAGGTATGTGATTTGTAATGATCACCTGGTTGATTGGGATTGGCTTATTTCAAATGATAGGTCATCAGCCATTTTCACACACAGCACTTGTCACCCTCACCTGATGTGCTCAGCACTTGTCACCAGTACTTAATGTGCACAGCAATTCAAGATAACCAATAATCTACTTCCAAGGTTAGTAATTATAGTACATTATTGCTATATGCTTTATTAATGAATAAATAACATAAATAAGTGTCATAAGTAAGCATTCTCAGTAAAGTATTTGATAGTGTAATTAACAAATGTATGAATACTCTTATGCAAGAATGTGTGTATGAGTGATGATTTTATATATAACTTTGTATTGTAAGTGTGATTGGATTATGCATATTTATATAAATCACAAAGAAGTAAACCTTTCCTTGTAGATATGTGTATTGTACATGTTAATTGTTGTCTGAACTATTCTCAGTCACGTGACATATGTATATATTTTCATGTGTTATATTTGCTTGGCTCAGGTATCACAATCCTGTAGTATGCGGAGGGTTGACCGCCCGTAACAACACTCCCGTGTCACCCACAGGGTACGCAGGTTATAATCTATTTCATTATTTATGCATAAGTGATGTATTTGCTTATTGTTGAATATATTGTATTCTTGTCTGGTATCATGTACTTCATTACATGATGATATATCATAATTTGGTAAAACACATTTGTAAGAAACCTATATTTGTATGTGTACTTGTAATGGTATGAGCATATGATGTATGCATTATTACAGATAGTAATGTACCTGTAAACATATGCTTATTGATGTTATGTAATATAGTGTGATGTAATATGCACGCTTGTATCTTAACCCATGAATGAAATTGAACTTATGATAATACTATTGTTACAGAGTGTCTACTGATATCAACTGATATCCACTGAATCATCAGAATAAACGAGTTGACCTCACACCCGCAGCCTTTATTCTCACTGACATAGAGGGTAAATCCCACGCCGCAACATATATATCATGATTGTGACCCAACGAGGACTGGGCAGTCTGAAACTGAGTGTTCAGAGCTGCCTCTTGTACCCGGCACCTGAATAAACTGTTTAGGACCTATAGACGAACTTGTGTTGTGAATAGAAGTCATATCCAGCACCAACTTACATCTAATCGACTTCAGTCTCCTGATTCAGAGTTTGCACGAACATGTTAAAGCACGACGCACAGTTTGCAGGTTTGCATGTTTTACTAGCATGCTACTGATACTTGCGGATTTATCTGTCAGGGCCCACATTGCCTTAGCGCTACGTTAGGGATGAGACCTCTTCAGGCTAAGGTCATCGTAAATAATTATCAAAACTTACGGTAGTTATTACTCGCCAATAGTCAAAACAATTTTCGTAGACTTAGCAGCGGTCATTGAATGACCCTAAGAGGTGAAGTGAGGCGAAATTGGGTTTAACGTCGTGCTTGAGAATATTTCGCTCATATGACGACGTGCATGCGTGTGTATGTGCGGCTGCTTGTACTAGCCCAGACTTAAGCTGGTTTTATAGTGCTAGCCCACTGAGATACCATGCCGCAGTGAAGCATGAATACCCCACTCAGACACATTATACTGACTCCGAGCCGACCAGTCCTTGTGCCCATTAATGCCGAGCGCCAGGCAGGGACCAACAAGTACCATATTTTAACGTCTTTTGGTATGACGCGGTCGGGGATCGAACCCGCGACCTTCCGCTCTCCGGGCGGGCGCTCTAACAATACATCACAGGGCGGTCACTCCGCTCTGTATGTACATGTTTCATAGATATGTAAATCTGGCAAACAGTAAATTTCATGTGTTGTCTTGCATGTAAAGCAAACGTAAATGCTGTGAATGTAGGGCATGGATTTCACTACCCTTGATATCTCGTATGACCGGGGTTAGGTTTGTCTATTTTTGATACACATGTAAATAATTGGGAATGGGTAAATGGAGTTTTACAATACTGGCACTACTTTAATATGTATTTCAATGGTTCAGTAATATAACTGTCACATCGGATTCGTTAGGGCGACCGATCACGCCATAATCTACTGTGATACATATGGCAAAGTGATACCCATGACTGAGCACCTACATTTTAATGGGCTGCACTATCAACATGTGTGCCTTTCATGGCCCACAAATAATGTTTGTAAAAGGTTGGTATATCGGTGAGCATTGGGCATTCCGTGGTTTTCAGTTATTGCCTTTTCTTGTGCAAAAGTTCGATATTCTTCGACATTTGGATGACACTGGGCAATATACATTAACTCCGAGACAAGAACCGACCTTTTACATGTAATTCCAATGTACCACAGCACGAGTATCCTTAAACTTGTCTCGTACCCAACCCCACACAACCCTCAAACACAAAGACCCGTGAAGGTCCGGGTTAGAATATTGATCTTAACACCTTACACATGACCATTGAGTATTTCCAATACATTTCGCTGCATTGCAATAGGCGACCAGTGAAGGTCCAGGTTAGAATGAGCCTTCAGTAACCCATGCTTGTCGTAAGAGGCGACTAACGGGGTCGGGTGGTCAAGCTCGCTGACTTGGTTGACACATGTCATCGGTTTCCAATTACGCAGATCGATGCTCATGCTGTTGAGGGACGGAGGGGTAGCCTAGTGGTTAAAGCGTTCGCTCGTCACGCCGAAGACACGGGTTCGAATCCCCACATGGGTACATTGTGTAAAACTCATTTCTGGAGTCCCCCGCCCTGATATTGCTGGAATATTGTTAAAAGTGGCGTAAAACCAATCTCACTCACTTACACACTCATGCTGTTGATCACTGGATTGTCTAGTCCAGACACGATTATTTACAGACCGCCGCCATATACCTGGAATATTGCTGAGAGCGGCGTAAAACTAAACTTACTCACTCGGTCATTCAGACACAAGGGGCACCAGGTCACGGAGTATCTGTTCTGCCTCAGAGGCCCTTAGTTTAATTCTCGTGCGTTTGCATATGTTGGTGACGCGGCAGGTGGTACCACGGCTTCGGATTTCAGCAGAAATTTTACATGAAGACGCGATTTTACGTTTTATCAAAGGTCAATAGGCTTAATCACAATACTACTCGTCTCGTTTTACGACTTCTTATCACTAAACATGCTAAAGTTAAAACTAATTTATATTCTAATCGCAGTATAATGAATAAAACAATGAATCCTACGTCAAATTATCGTCACCATGATATCTCTATGCTGTTTCACCTTTGCTTATGAGAGATGAAGTGAATAATATATGTACGATGCTTGTTATGGTGGTACTACTATAGGTGATACTGTCGGCCGTAAAGCTATAACTTAATAGGCTGTTTTAATGCTATTAGCAATCACTGGGTATATGTACAGTTATATGTGTGATGGAGGAGACCTTGCGTCTATACTATTCTCAGTGATCTGAATATGTGTATGAGATACCTTTAGAAAAAAGTGTTTGCCCTGCCTATAACACTGATGTACCGTGTCTATAATAATGATATAATACGGGGTTGTATGACATGCACTTTATCTTGCCCCAGTCATGATGATTTAAATTGTGATCTGTAACATTAATGTCTCCGATGCTCATAACCAGTTATCGGAATGAGGGTAGGTTTTAATGATAGTGAGTGAGTAAAATTTATAGTGACATCGGCAATATTTCAGCCGGGACTAAATCAAGCTGTAGATTTAAAATATTTAAAAGTAAATTATAAACACCTGTCAACAAAGGACCGTAAAACAACTAGATGATCACAGATATAATTTTAAAACTAGTAATGAAACCATGAGACAGTGCAACTTAATAAGACACGACAATATACACAGGCTATAGATCACCCAACAACTGAAGGTTGATCACCATACTACGGACCTTGTTTTTTTAATGATAACCAGTATGCCTATTACTGTGTTTAGGCAGTAACCTTCTTCGAAATTTCTCCATATACGTCCGTCTCCAATGTTGTAGAAAACACTCCTCGTACTTAAGAAAACAATAATCCATAGCATTCATTAATATCTTGGTCAGCTTCAACCGCGTCTATGTCAGACCAAACGTCAACAAGAAGACAAAGTCATCAATATCCCCCGCAATGACAACATACCCTTATGAATATGTCAATTAGTTATGACTATGTCAAATGAAGTTGCGTGTATATAGCAGTGAGTGAGCTTAGTTTTATGCCACACTCAGCAATATTCCAGCTATATGGAAGTCATCTGTAAATAATAGAAACAAGAATGTTTCAAACAACGGAATATATACCCCCATGAAATGAATAAGGGAACACGTGAAAGTACGAGTTTTCCTTTATTTATTTCCAGAATTTCACCCATAGTGCAATACATACCTTGTGAAGAAACCTGAAAAAGAATAACGGAACACTTGTACTTTCATGTGTTACCCTATTTGTTTCCATGAGTATATATGCAGTGATGAGGAGGAAATACTCAAATTTGATGAAAAAGCATTTCCCAGAATGAACTGAAATTGATAAGAAACTCACACATAGTAGACAATTTGAGTTTGGTGGATAGATTACTTAAGTTGTATGGGCCTTTTTATTTTAAAAATGCAGTTGAGTTAAAATTTCAGCTGTTTAAAATTGTCAAACCCCGTTTGAACTTTGCGTAAAAACTTAAGTTTGTTTCGAGAAATCGGGGCCTGGGGCCGTATTTATCAAACAACCTAAGTCATTAAAAAAACATAATTTCTCGTTTCTTCGAAGTCATATTTATGAACAGGCTTAGACTGCGCTGTCCGGGAATTTCCCCCGAGCATGTGTTTCTGTCTCTCAGTAAAGAGAGTTCCACTGGCAGGCTAAAAATGACCGGGATAGTCCCTAGTGATCACGTGATCGGGTTTGGCGAAATTGACTTAGTTTTTGTCGGCGGACTTAGCTAAGTTTCAGACTTAGCACGTTTGTGAATACCAACTTAAGTTTTCGACTTGGCTAAGTCAGTTTCAAGAAACTTAAGGTTTTTTTTAAGTCAAAACTTAATTGTTTGATAAATTCAGCCCCTGGTCTATGGGGGCATAGAACACACAGTAAAGCAGGACTATGTTCGCTTGGTGCACCCTTCACAGGCAACAGTTGCACGTTGAGGTCACTTTTGGATATCACAGGGAATAATGTATTGGGGCTTGTTCAATACCGTGTATACCCCCCGGTATTGAACAACAGCCAGGCAACATTGTCTAACATCTAACTGCCTTACACCAAGGAAAACAGCATGAGGTAAGCTTGGCCCTTGCTCTTGAACATTCTGGGGTTGACGTCTCAGTGATGAGTGAATATGGTTTTACGCCACTTTTAGCAATATTCCAGCAATATCAGGGCGGGTGGCACCAGAAACGGGCTTTAAACATTGTACCCATGTGGGGAAGCGAACCCGGGTCTTCGGCGTGACGAACAAATGCTTTAACCACTAAGCTACCCCACCGCCCAGGTTGACATCTCAAGACACGAGCACCCCGAACGTGTTCGGAGGGATTGAGGTCAGGTTCTCTCGATGTTGATACTCGCATTTTGCAGAGTAAACCACCGCTGTGTATGGGGTCGCACTGTCATGTTGGAATTCGAGGCCTGGACCATGAGCAGTCATGAACGGCACCAGCTCCTGAACAAGGACCTGCCATGATATCACCCTGCATTGAGCTTCCCACGAATTACAAAAGACGTGAGTGCACATGCACGGAGAAATTCCCCCATACCAATACGCTATCGCCACGTAATCGGCCAACTTCCTGTACGCAACACTTGGCGTGACGTTCACCACTCCAACGCCACGCTCCCACTCTTCCGTCGGCAAATCGCAGCGTTAAACATGATTCGTTCCTGTTGCAATGAGTGAGTGAGTGAGCTTAGTTTTATGCCGCACTCAGCAATATTCCAGCTATATGGCGGCGGTCTGTAAATAATCGATTCTGGACCAGACAATCCAGTGACCAACAGCATGAGCATCACTCCCAGCAATTGGGAACCGATGACATGTGTCAACCAAGCCAGCGAGCCTGACCACCCGATCCCGTTAGTCGCCTCTTACGACAAGCATGGGTTACTGAAGGCTCATTCTAACCCGGATCTTGTCGGGTCGCCTATTGCAAAGAAGCGAAATGTATTGGAAATACTCAATGGTAACGTGTCAGGTGTCCGTGGTGAGTTCGTCACGGTGGTTAAGAATTGAGTTGAGTTGGGCTTTACGTCACTTCGGCATTATTCCAGCCATATAGTGACGAGATCAAGACAATGCATTGTAACACGTGGTCGACCTTTTCTAGGCAGCCCACGCGCTGACCCTGGCTCTGATGACGTTCTCTGATAGTTCTTGGCGATAGGTGGAAAAACCAGGCTACAGCCCACCTGTAGTCGGCAGATGACGTTGTTGCGTTGATATTTTTGTCATTCGTGGCATGTACCGTTGCCCCAACACCTGTACTTTCTGTTGGATATAATACCCCAAACCCTGTTGCCGGCTATGTCTTAGTCCTTGTTTTGTGCATGTTTGTGAAACCCAGTGACTCTTAAGGACCTGCTCTTGAACATCAGGCGATTGTGTATTATGCATGTGTGGAAACAGACTACATGTACCAATCAACAATTTTCTGTACATTACTGTAAATTGCGTTGTTTATCGACAGAATAGATACACTTTCTTTAAAAATTGCGGGGGCGGTGGGGTAGCCTAAAGCGTTCGCTCGTCACATTTTCACAGGTCATGGTGGAAGAGACAAAATGATCAAAGAGTTAGACAAGTATGCCAACATCACCTGTGATGCCATTTAACTCTTGTGCCGTCAAATCCCTGTCTGTCCAGTGCCAGTAGAAGAGAAAGCGGTTGGTTTGAAAGACCAATTCTCTCCAAAGACTTTGGTTTCCGTGCACAGGTTGACCTCATTGATATGCAGTCAACAGCTAAAGGTTACCACCTCATGGTGTACCAGGACCATCTCACAAAATACTGTGTATTGCGCCCGCTCACTTCAAAGCGTGCTGCAGAAGTTGCCTTGCAACTAATGGACATACTTATGCTGTTTGGTGCGCCAAAGTGACAGCGGCAGTGAATTTACCGCATCAGTCATCAGTGAGCTGAAGGTTAAGTGGCCAGATCTGTTGATGGTACATGGCAAGGCTCGTCATCGCCAAAGCCAGGGGTCTGTATAACGTCTTAACTGTAACATCAAAGATATGTTAGTTGCCTGGTTAGCGGACAATAACACAACCGACTGGCCGAGTGGATTTATGCAGTTCCAGAAAACAGCAGCCATCAATCTGGAATCAAGCAGTCACCTTTTAGAGCAGTCACCTGTTTGGAAGTCAGCTGAGAGTAGGTCTTCGTCATTCTACCCTCCTCCTGAAATACTGGAACGTCTGGTCACTGAAGATGACCTCCTTGCAACATCCGAGCCGTCTAAATTCAGTACACTACCAGAATCATCAACTTCACAATCAGAGTCGCCATCCTCACCGCCAGCAACACATCAGCAGGACCATCCATCCTCTGCCGAGTCATCATCATCAGAGATCTCACAGATTGAGGAGCAGCATCAAAACATCCAGCTTAACCGCAAGAGAGCTGCTCATGGACAGTTTGCTCAAGCCAAACGCATTTCCTAAATATTCCAGGAAATTTACACATTTCCTGATTTGACACACTCACTGTTTGCTCACTCCGGGTAACCAGTCCTAGTTTTCTCAGTAGTTCCACTCACGCACAAAAAATAATGAACAAACTTAAAAAAATTGTATGATGGTCTCTTTATTAGCGTTCTTTAAACAGAATTGTACATGTCCTGGTCTATCATCAAGTGTCATATAAATGGTATCAGTCACAACAGCTTGAACAATAGAAAAATATTTTTAGAAAATGACCATTGCCGTCTTCACAAGGCATGCATCTAACACCGTACGTACATGTAATATATTCACTGGAAGGTGAATTTCATTCCAAGTGAACAAAAGTGTTACACATTGTTTGTATTGTACAATGGTTGTATTACTGCTCTCTGTTCACGAACGTGACTTTCTTGTAACGTTTACCGTTAGTATTCTTCCCACAATAATGAACCTTGAGCTCATGTAAGCTATAGCTCTTTGAATAGCCACACAGCCTGATTGTTTACATAGCTGCTTACACCAACGTGACTAAAAACAATGTGACCACTTGCAACATATTCCATAAACGTCTGGTTTCCAATAATATGTCCCTTGCCCACAGAAATGACGCTTTTCTTCCAGCTCAGCCAAAATGGTCTATATTCCTGACAGGACAGCATGGACGATTCTGTATGACTGATCAGAAATGGACACCCCCTGCACTGACGAATCAAAGATAAAGTATTTTTGTATCCCCCTATAATGATCTGATAGGCGTCAGTTTGGATCGTGTTATCACGATTGTCTAGGGCAATTTGGGCGTCGGTACAAGTCTTCACCAAATACACGATGGAAGAAGTACCCCCTGTCATCTTCCTAAAACTACTTCCTGGTAACGGTAGGAAGGTGTAGGTTCGGAGGACTGGACTGTTGAATTTCACGTAGGGGCCTGGAAAAGAGTATGGGTAAATATATGAAACTGAGGGTGCAGACCCATGTACTTGGCCTAAACCAAGCAAGCGCTTGTGCAAGACCAGTAAGTCGCTCCTGGATTATAAGCATGAGTTGCATGAATGCAAACCTGAAATGTTATGTGAGCAAATTACCTTCCTGTGCCCTGCAATAAACACAGCATTTCAGGTGTATTCCGGTCCCGGAATTGAGCTTGATTTTTCTTTGTTTGAGTTAATTTAGTTTCACATTGGATTTTCTGTGAATGATTTTGTTTATTACTAGTGTTTCGGTTCTTTGTCATTGTCTTTGTATGAAGTTTCCCCAGGATTCGAACAGCAACTTGAATGCAATAGTCTGCGTTAAGATTGGTAATAATTATTATGCTTTATTTTTCGAACAAGAATGGCGCAGAGAGAAGTTGGCAGTTCATCAGCTGAGGTACAATTGCCTCATGCAGCCTAGACAGCCAATGGGCTGCTCCGCCAAGAGGAGTTGCCTGGTAGAACTTTGCACGAACTATTAAGGACGTTTATATATACAATTGCCTCAAGAACACTCTGCAAATCCTACGACGCTATGCATTATTATCGGGTTTAAACATTAACACAAACGAAACCCAAGTAGTTAAATTTGGATCCCTGAAAAATTCTAAAGAAATGTTATGTAAAAAATGTGAATTGAATTGGAATGAAACTGAATTTACTTTTCTTGGCATCATCTTCACACATAATTTGGCAGAAATGGTGGAAAGGAACTACACAGATAAACTGAAAGAAGTACGACTGTCGATGAAGAAATGGTCAGTAAGAGCCCATTTCTTATACTACCTAAACTGAATCATTTATTCTCATTTCTCCCTAATCCAAATAAAACAATCATAAGATAATTAAATTCAGAATTTAAAAAAAAATTATTTGGCAAAAATAAACCAGATAAGATAAGTAGAAAAACACTTAGCAAATCAGTCGTAAATGGGGGACTGAGAGTACCAAACGTAGAAAATACAATCAGATCTCAAAACAATTAATGGATTAAGAGATTGTTCAAAAACGATTCAAACTTAAAACTTTATTTAATAATAATATTAAAACAAATGATATGAACTTTGTATCAAAATGTGAACAATACATCAAGGAAAATGTAATGACGAAGCGAACCAATAACTGAGGTTTTATTCTGATGGGGAAGCTACATCAACAGTAAAAGACAAAACACCAAGCATTAAGATGATATTCTTTCACAACCACTGTAGCATAATGACAATTTACGTATTGGGCGCAAGCCAGTATACACTATGCAAAGGCAGGACTAAATACTATAAACGATTTGATAGACGACAAAGGAAACATACTAACATTTGAACAGTGAAAAAGGTGCTTGTTGGTCCCTGCCTGGCGCTCGGCATTAATGGGTACAACAAGGACTGGTCGGCTCGGAGTCAGTATAATGTGTCTGAGTGGGGTATTCATGCTTCACTGCGGCGTGGTATCTCAGTGGGCTAGCACTATAAAACCAGCTTAAGTCTGGGCTAGTACAAGCAGCCGCATATGAGCCGTCATATGAGCGAAATATTCTCAAGCACGACGTAAAACCGAATTTCAACTCACCTCACCTCATTCACAGGTGTATATTAACTTACGAAATGCTATCAAAAATGAAATTGATTGAATCCAATGCCTGTACTTTCTGTAAAACAAGTGTTGAAACCATAATACACATATTCTATGAATGTGATATTGTCAGAGATTTGGAATAATGTTATTGCGTGGATTCAACATAAAACAGGCACTCTTCTTTACTTAGATAAGAAAAAGGTATTATTTGGATACCCTGGGAAATGATGATGTGCTCAATCGCTTCATTATTATCACAAAATAAAATATTTTAAAATCAAGACTAGCAAACAGACATCCAAATATTTAACACATTAAAAAAGAGGTAGAAATGTCATACAAATTAGAAAATTACAACTCGAAGATAAACTGTAGCGTACCATCATTTCTACATTTTTGGTCTTCATGTCATGTGCTTTTTTGTTGAAGATGTTATCCATTCAGTTTATGTCATACTCTCTGTATTTACTTCATACTCTCATACTATCTGGTTTGATTAATATCAAAATCCAAGGAAATGTCTGGAATTAGTGGACTTTTCTTGACACATTGACTTTGTACGAAAATAAGGGAAATAAAATAACAAAACAAAAAGAATGGTGCAGAGAGAAGTACAATTGCCTCATGCAGCCCAGACAGCCAATGGGCTGCTCTGCCAAGAGGAGTTGCCTAGTATTACCTACCAAGAACTATAAAGGAAGTTTATGTATATAACTCCACAGAGCAACCTCCCGCATATCCCCGAGTGTCAGAGTTGTGCACCCTGTGGAGAACCCAGGCACAAAGGGCACAGAGAACAATAGCCTGATGACCGTGTACATGGGGTGCAAGCGAGACATTTCAGTAGTAAGGTCCGCATATTTTATCAAGTTAATATAACTCAAACCTTCAATTAAAGCCACGACTTGAGACGACCCTATATGACAATGCACGTGTAAATGAATCTTCCCGTCTCAACAGTGCTGCATGCAATAACACCTTATCAGTCATGGCTTACTGCACACAAGTGCCATTCAGGGACACACAAAACGACTGTAGGTCACAGCGGGAAATTTGATCTAGATCAATTAAAATCTCAAAGGTCACAGAGGGAAGTGCCACAAAGGTACTAAACCAGTTCTGATGGTGACGTCAGTTTTTATCTGTTTCTTAAAATCAGTTGTATATGCAAATTTACGTCATTTTTACCTGTAAAACAACCTTTTCGAAGATGGTGGGATAAAGACAATAAAAAGCCTAGTTGGGAATAACGACGAAATTTTGATATTTGTTTGAATTGCACATTTCCATTAGGAGAACCGACCAAGAATCTTCCTGAGAATATGTATACTCCCGAACACTGCAGCCTTCTGCATTACCTGGCGTGTCAGAAGGACTGTGCTCCCGGTGGAAAACCTGGGCACTCTCCTGATCTGCGCCAAGATATCGGGAGCTACCTAACCAATGGCCCCAAGAACAACGGGGAGCCTGACGACAGTGTATTTTGGATGCAAGCGAGACATTTCAAAGGCGATGTCCGCATACTTAGCATGCTTTTCCTGAATCTTGCCAATCACTTTGCTCTCAAAAGGGACAGAAAATTCAATGATACGAATATATCCATTGACCTTATCAAAAAGGACAAGATCATGTTTGATCATTCTTCTGAGGCTGTATTTGGCCTATTCCAAAGACATTTAAAAGCATGATTTTCCATGACGCCTCAGGGTCGTACCATGGATGGACCTCGGAGTCAAAGCCTCAGGTATGGCGAGGGCGGTAGCTGACGCAACGAGCCATGTCATGAAGTCATGTAAGATATGGTGTTTGTGCCAAGGAAGGCCATCCACTGACAAGCTGCTGGACAGTCTCTGTAGATTTATTGCAAAGTCGACGTTTCATATCGATATTATCTTTAAGTATCACAATTTAGTGATTGCGAGTGGGAAGTGACTGTTTCTGAGCAGCAAAAAGAAAGCCCTCAGTTTCACATTTAAGGCCAGCCAACTTCATCCAGGCGAAGGGGCCGGTTGGATTGCTTGTCTGTTCCACACACTGCAAGTACACACGATGCAATGGTTTCTCAGAGAGCTTCTCCATTAAGGACCGACTCTGTGAAGACTTGATGAAGGACTTCACCTGGTTTACTCCCATCACTGTACCGTCAAGCAGCACGTCCCTATGAACAAAATCAACCTCAGATTTGAGCTTCTGTCCAACCACATTGGCATGCTTAAATAGCTGTGGAATTCCTTGCTTTCATCGTGAGTTTTGACATGCACCACCAGAGGATCATTTGATGAATAAATATGTGCAAAAGTACACCATAAAATTCTATCATGAAGAGCCTCCCATCCTCCCGAATCGATTGGCATATACTAGTATAAACGATTAAGAGAAGCACGAGGGTGGTGGGCTCTGATATTAGGCATGGTTATTATTATTGTTTTACAGATTAAGATGAACATGCAGCAGAGAGGGTTCAGGTAATCCACGCACAGTCAGGCTGATAAGGCTCATCATCAGCTCAGGGTTGACACATTCAATCGTATCCCTATTCCGTAAATCGATGATAATGCTGTTGACCACTGGATTGACTGGTCCAGACTGACGTCATATAGCTGAATACATACGAAACAAAGCAAAGTTTGATCAACGTTTTGTCAAATTAATAATGTACAAAAAGAATCATGAAGGATCGATTTGGTGACCAGAATAAGTCAAATGCACGATTTACCTGAGCAGTTAATCGTGGGTGTCGACCAACTCCCGTTCTTCATGCAGGTGTTGTTGACACTGAGAACGTCCAGCGGCACATCTATGTAACTGCTGTGGCAGGTACAAGACCGAGTTCCTCCCATCACCTTAGATTCATAGCTGCAGGTTGCATGTGGATGACTCTCTTCAGAGCATACATACACATCAGCTGCCGAGAACAAATATATTTGACTTCAATTTATAGACGAAAGTGTATTAAAGTTTGACAAAGCTATGACGAGTTTGATAAAGCTATGACAGTTCTTACGGCACCATATTTCTATACACTTTTTATGCAGTCTAATGGAACAGTTATTACATTGAGATTCAAGACTGAACATTTTACCACAAACATTCAATGTAAAATGTTACCTGTCAAAACTTGCGAAGAGAGTATGGAAGGATGACCACTATGTATAAAAGGCATTTTGAAAAGTCAAGAAACTTCGTCACTTCGTAATAATTTACAATTTCTCTTTGTATACGCTGAAAATTTGGTTTTGATTTTTTTCTGCTACATCGGTAAATTGATTGTTTTACAATCAAGCATATTGCATTTAAGGGGTTATTATATTTTCCCCTGAATCCAAAAATTATGTTTTCATTTGATAAAAGTATGGTGTCTTCAGAAATCAGATTGAGCCAATCGGTCATCTTTTTCAATATTCCTTTGACATGTTCACATTCACAAAGTAAATGAATA